TGGGCTGTCAAAAATGGGGTGTCTACACGTTGCACTCTGCGAGATTAGATACAAGACCGTGACTTTGAGTCTTGAACTGTAGTAAGCCCAAATGAACAAATCGGGATTTCCCTCCCGGGACGTTCGGGGACGTCTACAATTATATAAATGTTTTTCTTTTAGATATTATATACAATTTACATTTTAAACTATATAAATAACATATTTATTTTATTTTTTATGAATATTTTTACATTATTTAATATATAAACAATATATTTATTTTATTTTTAGTGAATGTTAAATGAGTCAAATTTTAGAATGTTTAGATTTGTTTATTAAGATTTTATTGAATTCAAGCTCGAGTCTATTCACGAACAATTCTGTTCATTTGAAACCCTAGTACTGATACGGGATGAGGATTCACTTCACGTGTGAGGTTCACAAACTCGTAGATTTGGGAAAGTTAAAATTGACATAATTTTGAGACTATTTTTCATAAGTTTAACATCAACATTATTATATTATAGGATAAATTATAAATATACTTTATGAGATTTATTTAAAATACGGATTGTTCCTGTAATAACAAATGACTGTTTTTATTAATAAATTATCAAATCAATTACTAATTTTTAATGATGTCAAAAATATATTTCAATTAATAATTTAAGTAATTTTATTATCCTATAGGAGAGCACTTGGAAATTTTATTTTATTTTATTAATTTTGTTAAATAAAAAATTATGACAATAAAGTATTTGTGTCAATGCCCAATTTTCAAAGGTTAATTAGGTAGAATCTAATTAACCTAATCGTGAGATTTTAAAGTAAAGATTCCCATTATTACTTAATTCTTCCTCAAAAATCGATTTCCTTAGCCGATTCTCATTCAATTATGAAGATTAGGTTTTTCCTTATAAAAGAGTCCATTATCCCTTTAAATCCTCTAAATGGGAGAAAAAATTCATGTTTAAAAAAACTCAAATAATTTATAAAAAATTCATTAAAAAAAAAGTTTCAATTATTAACCAAAAAGAAAAATTGAGGTAGTCATCTATACGTCACAACTTATTGGCTCTAACATAAAATTATATAATTAAATAATTTTTTTTAAAAATAAATTAATTACATCGCATAATCATATAACAACTTCAAATGGTTGTATCACTCTAATGGTCCACTAAACTAGACATAAATGTTAATGTTATATTTTAATCCGTACATAGTGGTTTCAATTGTGTTGCATTATCAATTTTTTTTAAAAAAAAATTAGTGAATATTATTTTTTTTTTCCATATTTTTACATGATGGAACGTGAGAAAGCTACTTCTAAATTTTCCAACTATCCTGAAAAAGCAAACTATTCATATCACGCCATCATGATCATGATGATCTAATGTATAAGGATCAACTTACACAATTTACAAAGGAAACCTGTCGTTTAAGAACTTGTGTTTTACGTGGTAAATAGCTACATTATGAAGCCAACATTCCGAACTTTACAAGTAAGTGCTACAATGTTATCTTTGTGTTATTCAAATTCATATATATACATATATATATATATATATTTAAATTATTCTTTTATAATCATGTATATACAGTAAGGTAAGACAAATTTGTATTAATTATTTCTTTTTCTTTTTTTTTAATAATCATCATTCATTATGCCATTATATAAGGTTGCCTTTTTTCATTATACTTATTATTATGCAGTTTAAATTCACAATTATTTTATACAATACTGCTTAATGAATTCATCTTCATTTAATTCACTGTCTGTTTGGACTCTGTGGTTTAAATTAAACAAAAGAGACAAGTAGGTTGTAATAGATAAAAGAGATAACTGTTGAAAATTTTAAAGTATGGAGGGTATAAGGCAATAGATTTAGTGGATAATTTTTTTGTTGGTGAGAGGTATACCTTTGTGAAATAGTTTGGTGAAAAATTCTTTTGTTGTTTTGGAAGGTTATTTTATTTTCAATTTTAACCCTTAATTTATTTGTTGACTTTTTTATCAGTTTGACTTTTCTTTGACTATTTGTTCAAATTTATATCTATCTATTTAAATTTTTTAACCTATTTTTTTTTATATGTTCAAATACACAGCATTTTCAAACTTTTTATATCTATTTGTTCCTTTCTCCACTTCTCTTTTCTCTCTCTATTATTTGTTGAAATTTCTCACACATTTTTTTCTTCTTATTTTTAACATATCTGTTGAACACAAAACTAGAGAAAAAAGAGTATTATTTGTTGAAATCCTAATCCCAATGAAAACAACAACAACATATGAGGAAATGAATACACTAAACCAATCAATACACTAAGTCACTATCTGTTGCAATCATCATCATCAACAATAACAACAACAGTAACATCTCTCTCTCTGTTTCTCTCTCTCCCACTCTCTTTTTTTCTCTCTCTCTGTAGGAATGAACAAAAAAGAGGACAAAGACCACTAGATATGCTCTGACCTACCAAAGCCAAATCTTGAACAATCAAGATCAGATCCAAGGTATCTCTAAAAATCAATCCATGCCTCAAATCTGTACATTTACGAAGCCATATGTATTCTGATGAACTCGACTGTCGTAGCGATCAAATCAATTGATCTCAATTTGATCTCCACCACCACTGTACGGCAGGGTGATCATCTCATGGAAGTGGACCGGGATGGAGAAGAGTACAATCCTCGAAGAAGAGGGTTTTGGTCGTTTCTCTATTTCGAAGCATTCTCAATACTACAAAATTATAAATAGATCACACTTTGACAAATGAAAATATCTCACTTTTATTGGAAGTATCACTACTAAAAAAATGGCCTTTTGCTACCATTTAATTTGCGACCACCTGATTATCAATCGCAAATGACTAATTTATTCTTTACTTTCTTTGATTTAATTTCCCCTTTTTATGTTTACCCTAGGCATTCACAAGATCATTCTCTTCCTCGCACGCGTTCTCGCTGTCTCTCTCTCTCTCTCAATCTTACAGTGGTATGAATGAGTCAAGATTCCCTCATTGCATTTTCTACTTGCAGGGCCATTGGGCCCACTTTTAGGTCCAATTTTGATAATCCGAACCGTTAATATTTTAAGGTTTGTTCAGTATATCATAATTGTAAAAAAATCAAGTAGATCGGATATCAAAAAGCATGTGATCGAAAAACTGTTTATTAAATTCTTTTAAAAAATAGTTTTTAGTTCAAGTTTTCTGAACACATGCTTTCTGATATCCGATCAACTTAATTTTTTACAGGTATGATATACTGAACAAATCTTAAAATATGAACAGTTCGGATTACCAAAATTAGGCCTAAAAGTAGACCCAATGACCTTGCAAGTAGGAAATATAAGGAGGAAATGTAAAGTGGGAATCCTGATTCGGTACGAATCTCTTAGGTTGCGTTTGGTAGAATTTTGTAAATATGATTTGAGAGTATGAGTTGTATTTTGAGTTTGTGAGTTGTAGAATTATGATTTGAGTGTAAAAAATTTATTTGGTTATGGTCTTTCAATAGAGTGTTGAATTGAGTTTTGAATTGAGTGTGGAATTGAGTTTTGAAAGTTTGATTTGACATGTGAAGTAAGAAAACTTGTTTGATTATAAGCTTTGGAAAGAGTTTTCAAAAATTAATTCAAATTGTTATAACTGATAACAAAACACACTACTTTCATACTATTGAAAATTCTGATCAACACTAATAACTAAACTCTTTTTAAAATTAAATTAAAAAAAATTTATTCATTAATCAATTTTTTAATTGAAAATACTACAAAGGAAATATTTTTTTTTTCAAAATAAATATTCAAAAAATTTAAATCAGAAATATTTAAATAATCTAAAAAATTTAATAAGTAAAAAATTAAAATAAACATTCAAAAAATTTAAATCGTAAAAATTTAAATAATTTAAATATTCAAAAAATTATTTTAACAAAAAAAATTAAATAATTTAAATATTCAAAAAATTTAAATAATTTAAAATGTTAATATTTTAAATTTAAAAACAACTCTACACTCAAATTTTTATAAAATAGAGTTTGAATTTATTTTTATAAAATATTTTAAAATTTAAAAAATTAAAATCGTAATATTTAAAAATTAAAATATTTAAAAATATTTTTATAAAATAGAGTTTGAATTTATTTTTATAAAATATTTTAAAATTAAAAAATTAAAATCGTAAAATTTTGAAATTAAAATATTTAAAAATATTCAAAAAATTAAAAAAATCGTAACATATTTAAATAATAATTTTTTAAAATATTTAAAAAATTAAAATATTTTGAAAAGAGTTTTGAATTATGTGTTTGGTTATGAATTTTGAAAAGTAATAATTATGTTTTGAATTGAGTTTTGAGAAATAGGTGTAGAATTATGATTTGAAAATTCAAAACAAACAACACACTCAAATTGGATGAAACTATGATTTGAATTGCCTACCAAACGGAGGCTTACTCTTTCTGTGTCCCTCAATCTTGTTCTCTGTCTCTCTCCTTGTTCTTCTCAATCTTGTGCTCTCTTTGTTTCTTATAAGCGGTTGCCACACGTGATGCGTGCGCAATTTAAATAAATATAAATAAAATAAAACATTCATTGTATATTGTGTGCTAATTAAATGGTAAGAGTCTTATTCATTTGATATAAGTCTAAGGTTCAAATCTCCTCCTCTCATCTATCTAATTTTATTTTTATTTTAAATAAAAAAATAAACACATGACAGCCTAAGAAACATAGGCCTTGTTTGGTTTGTGTTTCGGAAAAAAATTTAGAAAAAATTCTCTACAAATAAGTTTTCAAAAGTAATCAAATCAAACAAATTTTTTCAAATTTTTTTTCTAAAACTTGTTTGGTTTACAAATTTTCTAAACAAATCTCTCTCTTATATACATCAAATCAATCACTTTATTCAAAACTCTTTCTCAAAATAATTTTTAAAATATCTTTTAAAAAAAAATCAAACCAAACAAATTTTCGTATTCTTTGCCTCAAAACATGTTTCTCAAATACACACGAAATAATGCCAGAGACTTCGAAAGGCTTCGCGACACCAAACAAAGGTTTGGAGACACCGTAAGGGTGTTCACTTTTGTTATAGTGTAGAAGAAGATATAGATAGAAGATAGATAGAACGATCATTGAAAGTACGTTCACTCTCTCTCTCTCAAGTTTCTTTCTTTGTTTCTTCTTGTTTCGGGTTTGAATCTGTACCTAGGGTTTCGATTGAGTTCAAGGTGCTCTCTCGAAAGTTCTCTCTGTTTCTATCTTCTTTCGTTTCTTCTTATTTTTTGATTTGATTCTGCTCCTAGAGTTTGGATCGACAGATGACCCTTGCAATATTCAAATTTGATGATTTCTATTATTCGATGAATGTAATTCAATTTTATTTCTTCATTTCGATTTTTTTTTTTGTTGCCTCCTAAGCCTGAAAAATCAGCATGTTTTTGTTTTGTCTGATCATATTTCTCCATTTTGCCGTTGCTTATCTTCTTAGAAATTGTTGGAAACTAAAATTGAAGAAATTGAGTTTTATTCTGTAGCTCTGTTTTTAGTCCCTTGGAATGAAAATTAAGATGATAGTTTTATGCTGTACATTTTTCTGATGATATTTATAGTTTTTGCCTCTGTTTTGTTGCTGAGAAAATGCTGGAAAAGGAAAAAAAATGCAGTAAAGTTGTTGACAAATTCTCATGAGACACGGAAGTTTTTGAATTTGCAGGACCTTATAATGTGATTATTGGTTTAGATAAGGAATATGATAGGTTTCCTAGATAGCATTATGAGCTGCTATATAACGTGGATAGTTTTGGAAAATAAGGAGTATTAGTTAGATATGTTGATGTAATTAAAATATATATGTATAATCTTGGTACGAAACAGAGAGATGATAATCTTGGTCAAAGGGTCCAAACCGTGATAGAAAAGTACCCTCCTTAATTTTTTTTCCCCTCGTGGTTTCTTTGCTTCTTAATTTTTTGTCTTCTTGTGGTTTTTTTGCTCCTTAATTTTTTTTCCCCTCGTGGTTTCTTTGAGTGCTTACTCACGGAACTCACATCACTTGATCTGGAACAGGGGTATTCCTGAAGCTATGCTAGAAAAGATTGCAAAAGTGGCATCACAAGAAGAAGAACGGAAGGTTCTGTTTGTTTTGCACTGCTTTTCTGGTTTTTATCTATACTAGATATATGTTTGTCACATAATTTGGCATCATCAACAACACACACACACAAAAAAAAAAAAATGTAATTTATTTATTTATTTTTGATTATTTATGTTATTATTGTTTTTGCAACCTTGGTTGTAAAACTATGTTACTTGCACATTTTCGGTCCTTACTCATGGAGAGCACCATTTTATTTGGAAATTATATGTATTGAAAAATTAGGTATATGAAAATAATGCCAAAGGTTATGTCTTTACCCAATCTTTCCCTCCCCCTCCTGGCTGTCAGGATTGGGTTCGCTTCTTCATAACTTCTATTGAAAAAATACTGTAATTTTTCTTGTCACAATTATGTTATTTCTTATCTTTTTGGCATTGGGTTTATGCGTAGAATTTACAAGGTCTACTTGAAATAAATGGTCCTTCCTTCCTTTACTTTTATCTTCTTCTTCTTCTTCTTCTTCTTCTTCTTCTTACTGTTAAGTTGTAACTTGTAATGTTTTAGAATCATCTGTAAAAATTAGTACGATGTGTTGCTTGCTTGTATATGATGATATTTAAGTGATTGAGTATTTTGTGTGCATGTATTTTTTTTTTTTGGAGGGTCATTTAATTATTTTGTTTATTGAAGTAATTAACAATAGGGGGAATTACGTCCCCGTGGGACAATTTTATTTTATTTTTTTTAACACAAACATGGAGACGGCTTTTCACTTGTACCTCATGACAAAATCACTTGCACCCCACATTTTTTGTAATTTTTTTTTCTCTCTCACTATGTTGTAATTAACCCGTAAAAATAAGACTATAAATGTTTCTTATGTAACGTTGTATCGTGCTGTATCAAAGGTATATTTTTTAGCTTTGTGTTAGGCTTGTCTTCTCGCTTTCACTTACTTTTGGACCTACTTTGTCCCAGGATTTTTTGAGGAAGTCAATGTTCTCAAGCCTTAAAGATAGAGGTGGTGAGGACCGGGTCTACACAGCTGCCAAGGGGGCTGCATTCTTAGCCCATAATAGTTTTTCTCGTATTAGTTGGACTAGAGTGGAGGACGAAGTGTTCTTGGAAGACCCTGATGCATTAATACATGTGCAGTGGGAGGTTTTGAAAGCTCTTATGATTCTTGTATTAAGTGTTTATGATATGGTAATTGCTCTGGCTGAAAAATTATGCTAAGCAAGTTTGAGATTCACATTCTTCATCATTAGATTGCTTAGATTGTTTCATATTGCATTCACACACTGCTTTTTATTTATATAATTGCTTAGTATGTGTTTGTAGTTTGACCAAATGTGATGACATTTTTCACCCAGTTCATAAATTGGGTGGTCAGATTACTTGTTTTGTCAATTATGTCCAGACCTTTCCCTTGTCATTGACGTTTTCACTCTCTTGTGTTAGTGATTGTATTTGGCATTGTGTTCTTTTCTATTCTGTCTCTTTATCCCTTCACTTTTACATGCTATTAACCTAAACCTTGTTCCCTTCTATTGTCATTTTTTTAGCTTTTGTAATTGTATCATTATACAATCACAAAGTAACTTGTTCAGGTAGATGCTCCTTATTTTATTTTCTTTACTTTTTTTTGGGTCTCTCTCTGTGTATGTATATATATATGTATGTATTTTTTAAAAAATTTGGACAGAAATAAGCTCAAAATATATCAACATAATGCTTTGACTACGGCTGATGCATATTCATTCCTATTTCATTTCTTCGTGGAAAACACCTGTACTGATCATCCTTTTTTTCCCATCCTTTTTTTTTTTCCAGGAAGATTTTATTCGAATTGCTTACGAGGAAGAGTTGAATGCTGAGCGTAATAAGTTTATGTTTGATTTATTCAGATTGCACAAGGTTTGTGTGAGCCTCTTGAGTTCAATATAAGTTAGTGGATTGTGGCCATGGACCTATCAAATTATAATTACATAGTTGACATTCATATTTAAGTTTGATTTTGAGTTTATTGGTCTGTCTAGCTTGATAACTGAAATTGATATTGCAAACAAGTTGATGGTGCAACTTTTATTGTTACTTTATAGACTACTAACGAAGCTATTCTGGCCATTGCTCGTTGGGAGATGAAGTTGGATGATTTTATCCTTCTTCATGAATATGATGTTAATAGTCTCTTAGAGGTAACTGTTACAATTACATGTCACTGTGTGACATTGCTTTTAGTCTTTGTAACAGCCACAGTCACTTATTCAGAGATAATAGAAAAACGTATTTGTGCAGCAACAGACAACACCACAAGACTTGCTGATCCATAAGGTAACACGTTATTTTAGTCCTTATTTATGCTGTTGCCCTTGTAATCCCTAGCCTTCTTGTTATTAATCTCCTTTTGTTCTGACTTGTAGCTGAAAAATTGGTTATTGTGATGTGTTAAATTTGTCTTCATTTTTCTTGGTATGGGTATGCATGCTTGAGAATTGTAGATGATTGTTTGAGGCATCAAACAACAGTATTTTTTATTTGAACTTTAAATGGCATTACTAAGTAATTTTATATATGTATTTTTTTTTTTGCTTTGCTCCTTTCGTTGTTGTTTTTCCATAGTTCAAGTACACTCATCTATCATAATTGATTAGTTATGCAATGTTTTGAATATGATTTATGTTGATGTAGGATGTGCGTGTGTCTGAACTCTTAATCCAATGTACGGTGATTGTTATGAAGCAGTTGCGACCATTGAAGGTACAAGTGTGAATCACTTTTGATTTGTTTCTTAATATAATATTTTCTGCTACTTCACAATTAGATCACTCAAAGGTATTAACACTGAAGAACTGTTGATAAATTACTAAAAAATGTTTACCAAAATATTGTATTGAAGTTTAGGATTGTTATATATGTTTGTGCTTCGTCTTCGCAGTCAAATGTATCGTTCACTTTGCATTTGCGGCTTGCTCAAATTAATGTCTCCGTGTAAAGTGGATAGTTCATTCATCATCCTGAAGTCAGCTTTGAACTTAATGTTATGTGGTTATCATAACATTAATAAGATTTCATTTTTGACTTTTTGAATTTAAAGATTCTAAAATTTAAATTAGATTCTAAATATTTTTAAATGAGATGTGGCTAAAATATGAATAGATTTTTTTCGACTTTCTATTTCTATTAAAAGGTCTTTAAAATTTCAATTTAGATATATGGGGAGATAAACCAATAGTTTTATGCCACATATATTTATTAATTTTCAAACCAAACAAAACCAAAGCAAGCCTTAAGTCCCCATTAAATGGGGTCAGCTACATGAATCTTTCTTCTCCATGCGACTCTATCAAAGGCCATTTTGTTAGTCAAATTAAGTAGATCCATATTTTTATTTACAACGCTAACCAACGTTAATCTATCTACCTGGTCTCCTAACACTTCCATCTACCGTCACTGCATTTCATCTTTTCACTACCGTCTCTGTTGGTCTCCGTTGAATATGACCAAACCATCTTAATCGATTCTCTCTCAACTTATCTTCTATCGGTGCTACTCCTATCTATTCCCGAATACACTCATTCCTAATTCTGTCTTGTCTAGTCTTGCCACACATCCACCTTAGCATCCTCATCTTATCTACATGTTGTTTCTTGGTTACCTAACACTTCGTCCAATACAACATCGCTGGTCTAATAGTCGTTTATAGAACTTACCTTTTAGTTTAATGGGTATTCGTTTATCGCACAGTACCTCAGACGCACTTCTCCACTTACACCATCCTGTCTTAATCCTATGTACCACATCCGCATCAATCTGTCCCGCTGTTGTGATAATCGATCCTAAATGACGAAAATGTTTACTCTGCAGTAGTTCTTGGTTCTCAATCTTCACTTCTTTGCTTTCATTATTATTGTTATTAAATTTACACTCCATGTACTCTGTTTTAGTCCTACTTATTTGGAATCCTTTAGATTCAAGTGCTTTTCTCCAAGTCTCCAACTTTGTGTGAACTTCTTCTCTAGTCTCATCCACTAGCACGATATTGTCTGCAAAAAGCATACACCATGGCATGCCATCCTAAATATTTGTTGTCAACTCATCCATAACTAAAGCAAAAAGATAAGGACTTAAGGTAGATCCTTGGTGTAACCCTACAGTGATAGGAAATTCATTTGTCTCTCCAGTAGACAATCTAATAGTGGTCACCATCCCTTCATACATGTCCCTAATCACATCAATGTAATTTTATGTCACCCCTTTCTTCTCTAGCACCTACCACATTATATCCCAAGACACTCTGTCATATGCTTTCTTAAGGTTGATAAACACCATATGAATGTGTTTTTTCTTCTCTCTATACTTTTCTATTACTCTCCTCAAAAGATAGATTGCTTCCATTATTGACTTACCTGGCATAAATCCAAATTGATTCTCTGACACCTCTGTTATATCTCACAATCGGCGTTCCATCCCCGTCTCCCACACTTTCATTATATGACACATTAGTTTGATTCCTCTATAATTGTTGCAATTCTGGACATCTCCTTTATTCTTATAGATTGACACTAAAATACTCTTCCTCCACTCATCTGGCATGTTCCTAGTCAACAAAATTTTGCTAAACAACCTAGTCAACCAAGCAATCTTTTTTTTACCCTTCCAAGCTTCAATAGGGATATCATCGAATTTTAAAGGCTTATTTGATTTCACCTTCTTAAGTGTAATCTCCACTTTAAAGTTTCTAATCCTACGATAGGTCTTGGTTTATCGTATTACTGGCCATTTCTTCTCCTATTAACGTACTTCTATGTTCCTCATTTAGTAGTTTCTCAAAATAGTTCTTTCATCTTTCCTTAATCTCTTCATCTTTCACCAATACCTTAGAATCCTCACTCTTGATGCACTTAACTTGATTAAAATCTCTTGTTTTCCTCTCCCGTATCTTAGCAAGTTTGTATATCCTTTTCTCTCCCTCCTTACTGTCTAGTCTAGTGTATAGGTCATCATAAGCTTTCAACTTAGCCTCTTTTACTACTTTCTTGACCTCATTATTAGCCAATCTATAGCTCTTAAGGTTTTTCTCAGTTCTATCATTCTGTCGCTTTTTAAAATACTTTTTTTTTTTTGCCTTAACTACCGCTTGAACCTCTTCCCTCCACCACCAAGTTTCCCTAGAGCTGGGTTCCGTTCTTTTCGACTCTCCAAGAACTTCCCTTGAGATCACCACCAAGTTTCCCTAGAGCTGGGTCCCCTTTTTTTCGACTCTCCAAGCAATTCCCTTGAGATTCTCCTCATACAATTGGCCATCGAGTTCCACTTAGTGTTAGCATCCTCTTCCAAGTCCTAAGTATCTTCCTTATTCATTCTATTCTTAAATATTTCTAATTTATCTCTTTTTTAGGTCCCACCATCTCGTCTTACGACGCCCACCATTCTTCCTAGCTTGGTATTGCCCTTTGAAACATAAATCTAGTATCAAAATCCTATGTTAAGAGGCCAAGCTCTCTCTAAGACTCACCTTACAATCATTGCATTTTAGGCGGTCCACTTTTCTTACTAAGAAATAATCTATTTGGCTCTTAACTGACCCACTCTTAAAGGTTATCAAATGCTCCTCCCTCTTCTTATACATAGTATTGGCCACCACTAGGTCAGAAACCAATGCAAAATCTAAGGCTCTGCTTGGTTGTGAATTGAAAATGTAATTCTGCAGGTGTGTTTCAGTATGATGTTTGGTTGAGTGTTTGGAATCAATTTTCAAAATCTCTGCCGAGAGCTCTGTGCATCAGTAGCGTTTTTTGTGATTTTTTTGCCTCAGGGAAGACCGCCCGGATGTCCATGGGGTCTTCCGCCCGGACATCCCTAGGGACATCCGCCCGGATGTCCTCTGCTGTATAGATTTTTTTTTTTTTTTTTTTTTTTTTTCAGAGGAGAGATAATCCCTAGGGACATCCGCCCGGATGTCCTCTGCTGCACAGATTTTTTTTTTTTTGCAATTCATTTATATAATCGGGACAAATATTTTCTGAAAATTTTTAAATTTTTTATGTGCTTTAAAATAATTTTGAATTGTATGTTTAGTTATGAGTTGTAAATTTTTGTATCACATATCAAATGTCACATCAATAATTTCCCACTCAAATCAAACCTCTTTTCCAAAACTATTTTCAAAACTCTTTACCAAACAAATTTTCTACACTCAAATCATAATTCTACAACACACAAACTCAAAATACAACTCATACTCTCAAATCACATTTACAAAACACAACCAAACGCAGGCTAAGATACTCTCTCCAGTCTTATTTTTGTCACCAAAACTGTATCCACCTTGCACCCTTTCATAGCCTAGTTTATCTATGCCTACATGACCATTAAAATCTTCACCTATAACCAAGTTCTCTCCTACAGGTATCTCCTGTAAGATCTCATCCCTTTTGCTCCAAAATATTTCTCTTAGTCTGATCATCTAATCCTACTTGAGGGGCGTATGCACTAATAACGTTAACTGTCTTCCCTCCAATAACTAGTTTAACTAACATAATCTTATCCCATTTTCTAATGACCGTCATTACATTCTCCACAAGACTCTTGGCAATTATGATTCCTACCCCATTCTTGCGTCTATCCTGACCACTATAATACAGCTTAAAACCAGCATCCTCAATTATCCTAGCTTTCTCACCCATTCACTTAGTTTCTTGTACGCAAGCTATACTAACTCTCCTCGTAAGCATAACATCTACCAATTCCATCGCCTTACTAGTTAAGGTTCCTATATTCCAAGTGGTTACCCTAAACCTGTAGTTTTGGACTAGGTTCTTTACTCGCACTCGTCCAGAAAAATGCGGGAATCTTTGCCCGTTTTTCACCACACCCAGGCGTCGATGCGGCGCCCCTTGCTCACTTTTCGAAACACCTGGAGGTAGGCGCTAAGCTAACGCGCCACTTGAGGGGAACGACCTAGCATTTAAACGATTCAAAGTAGGATTCATTGTCATAAGGGATCCGAGCGGCTTTTTTACGTGTTGGCTGTCGGCTACTTAACACACAACCCTTCTCCTTTACCTGGGCTTGGGACCGGCGGAGTTGTTAACAACATTGGCGGAATTATATTTATTAATTTTCAAAAATAAAAATTTAAATGAGATGCAATTTAAATATAGATAAGATACTATTTTGGCCTTTATATTTAAATATTTTAAAATTTTCAATATAATTTGGTTGGTCCAATAGTTATTTGTCATATGTATTCTTCTCTTTTAAAAATAAAAAATTAAAAAATTAAAATTCTGATTTATTTTCTATAATAATGTCATAAATTAAGGATTATTTATTTATTTATTTCCATAAATAAAGTAATTTGGAAGGTAGGAATTAATAAATTTGAAATGTATTGCAATAATAATAAAAAATTCAATAATTATAATTAAAGTTGAAGAGCCAATGATTTTATGACACATGTATTTTTGTATTTTTTTAATTCAAAAATCTAGAAAAATTGGATTAAGAGTTTTGAGTTCATATAGTTATGAACGTTTTTGCTTATATAATAGTATCGATTATCTTTAATTTCTTTCCCTTTTAAACTAGAGAAATTATGCAATGCACCTAATGATGGAATTGACCCAAGAGAAGTGTCGTGGTATCACTGATGTTCTATTGCTGGAGCCTTGGGGGTGCTTCGATTTCTTGGAGCTGCATAGGCTTGAGCCGCCTGTCCAATTTGTTGGGCTTGATGTACTTGCTTGTCAAATATTTGAAGCCATGGACCAGTTAATAGAATGGAAAGGGCTTGAGGTAATTTGTTTTGCTTGTGGCAAATATTGCTGCCGGTGCCATAATCCTTAGCACACATTTTTTTAATGTATAATTGATGAGTATAGCTCTGTTACATGCAAGAGTTTTTTTTGGCGTTTTCCCATTTGATGTGGCAGATTATTTGCATATCAGATGGCATATTTCACTTAAAATGAGTATATTGTAAATTTAGGATATCACTTAATAGTGGCCCAGTAGTTGCAATATTTGTCTACTTTTGTGGGTTTTGCAGAATTATTGTGCTTTGTGTGAAAGTTTTCTATGGTGGATTATGAATTCTTTGCACCATTGCAATTTTCCATTTTCCATTCTCCTTTTGCAGTTACACAAGTCCATGAAATCAGCTACATTTCCCTTGCGGTCAGGTGTCTTTGGAAATTGTACAGAAGAGGTAATTGAGGTTGTTGGACATGCTGACTGTGAAAGAAGGTCAGAAGGACATCGTTTTATTAGCTCACATCATCTTTTATTGGGCCTGCTTCGCACAAGGATTGGAGGAAGTGTCCTGAAGTTTGTGCAGTTACGACAAGCTCTTGAGGAACCTGTGAGAAATCCTAGATATTGCATATACGGGACAGCACAGTGTTTAGCTGGTAAGAATGCTTTTGCTTTACATCCAAATTCACTTACTGATGCACTTCTAGATAAAAGCATCTTTATCATTTGAAATTTGACTTGTAAATAAAAAAATCTTACCAAATGCACTTACTAATCTCCTTAATTTGACTACGAAATGGCCTTTGGATAGAGTCGAGTAGAAAAGAAGAATTTATGCAGTTAACCCATATGATGGAACTTAAGGCTTGGCTTGGTTTGGTGTTCGATTATGAAAAATAGTAGGTTGAATCGTTTAATGTGTATGCTTTTCATAAATTTGCTGTAGGTGTTGACAAAATACAACTTGAACACCTGTTTTTAGCAATTATGTTCTTAGAGCTTGGGAGAAATTTTTTTTCTTTGCGAGACGAAATAATTGAGATTATAGAACAAGAAGATTTGTCTATGGATGAGTGCGTCCTCAAACTTGGCAACCTGTGCTTGCTTGAAGGACTTAAATGTGCCCCGCAAAAGGTATTTTTCTTTTTCTTTTCTAGAAAGTAGAATTGTTTGTTATATCATATCTATAACCTGGTTTGTAACAGGAAGATTTGTCAATAAATGAGCCCATCCTCAAACTTGGCAAGCTGTGCATGCTTGAAGAAATTAAAATATTTAAAATAATAAATAAAAAATATTTTAAATTAAAATTATATATTTAAAATTAAAAATAAAATTTTTAAATATTAAATAAAAATATAACGCACTACATATTAAAATAAATAAATATTTACAATAAAAAATAGTTGCCCTAAAAAAATAAAATTAAGAAAAATTTTAAATGTTTTAATAAAAAATAAACCTAAAAAATTTCAAAATACAATTCAAAAACTCAAAATTTAATGTACAATTCAAATTTTTTTTTTCAAAATTCATAACCATACAAATTTGGGTAAATTATTTTTAAGACCTATTTGGAAGACTTGTATAAAATATGGTCCTATGAAAAAACTTATAGTCTAATAGCTCCTGTGGTTTTACTGTGGACACGTATACCCCTAATCTTCATTAATTAATAATCTGATTAATGATAATATCGTATATGGAAAATCCAATGTTACCATAGATTGTGATTATATTTTTATAGTTAGAAATTTGAAATTCAAAATAATCTAATTAATGGCAATACCATATATGGGAAATCGTTACCATAAATTGTGATCACATTTATATGGTTGGAAATTTGAAATTCAAAACATAAATGTAACATTCCAAACTCAACGTGACATTCCCAAACCAAATGTGACATTTCCATATGCTTCTGAAATTCAAAATAACTTGATTAATGGCAATATCATATTATGGAAAATCCAATGTTACCGAAGAATGTGATCATATCTATATGGTTGGAAATTTGAAATTCAAAACATAAATGTAACATCTCAAACCCAATGTGACATTTCTAAACACAATGTGACATTCTCATATGCTTCTCATCCCAAATCCAACACATGTAACATTTCAAACCTAACGTGACATTCCAATACTCTACCGTTAAATTATAAATAATGTAACTTCTTAAATGTAATATGGAACATCGCAACCCAACCCATGTATTAAACCATCATCACTCCCAACCCAGCGTAACTTTAACATCGAGTAATGGGATTCAATCCACATTCAATTACAAACCCAAATCCTCAATAATTTTGCGCAATGTATTGTGACATGTATGTGAACATTAATTACAATAAAGACACGATACACATTCAAACACATATGCAATCAAACAAACACACGTCATCTACTACATGATGTATGTGGATTAACGTTACACACTAAATGTAATATGCATTGTAACACGATCATCCAGGTCCTAATGTCCTAAATGTAATATGGAACATCGCAACCCAACCCATGTATTAAACCATCATCACTCCCAACCCAGCGTAACTTTAACATCGAGTAATGTTCAATTACAAACCCAAATCCTGAATAATTTTGCGCAATGTATTGTGACATGTATGTGAACATTAATTACAATAAAGACACGATACACATTCAAACACATATGCAATCGAACAAACACACGTCATCTACTACATGATGTATGTGGATTAACGTTACACACTAAATGTAATATGCATTGTAACACGATCATTCCAGGTCCTAATGTACAATTGCCATCTTACGATGTGGTTCACATTCGACATCCAATTAACAACCAAGATCAAATATCCCCAACCAAACCATGAACTCATACACACCACTCCACACATCAAACATATCAAAACGTATCAACCATCACAATATTAAATACACACAAGCATGCCCAAATGTGATATGATGAATGAGAAAATAGTGTACAATATGGAAACAAATTAGGGGTATAATAGTACACTAATATCATTCATTTATAACTTATAGGACCTTATGGAACACATTCCTATTTAAATAGGGCTTCAAACTCTAAAATAATATTTATAGGACTTCATATTAAATAAAGTCTTTCAAATAGGACTTATAAATAATTTTCCTAACAAATTTTTCCTTTTCAAAACTCATTTCAAAAATTTAAAACTCAAAATACAATTTAAAACTCAAATCATGATTTAAAAACTACCAAACGGAAGTTTATTTTTCTTTTCTAGAAAGTAGAATTGTTTGTTATAATCTATATAGCCTGGTTTGTTTCTCATTAATCTGTGTGAGAAAAAAAAATGTAAAATTGTTTGGAGCATGTATTTATCTTGATGTTAACAATCCCCAAGAAATTTTCAACATTCTTCTTTTTTCTGTTTTTGTTTTTTTATTTTTAAATTTATTTAAAGTGCTAGTATACTTTCTTTTTTTTGCTTTTTTTTTTCTTAAAGTTTATTTTTATGTTCTCTCTCTCTCTCTCTCTCCACTTATTGAAGGATTTCCGAAGCAACAGCTTGGACAATAACAAAAATGCATGGAATGCTGGCTTGAGTAGCAAAAGATTTAATGTGTTCTTAGAAGGTAAAGTAGCAAATTTTTTATTTTATGTTTTGTATCTGCAAATCATGTATCTTTTTTTTAATTATTGTGTTTTTATTAGGTCTATTGAAGCTCACTAGAAGACAAGCTGGAAAGACTTCTGAGGGCAGTGTTTGGGGTTTTATAAGTAGTGTTTCCAAATTCTGGGAGCCACAAGCTCTCAAGCTTCGTGTCTAGCAGGACTCTTATGCACTTTAGCAAAGGAGTTAATGAATACATAGTCCTAATAATGAGATGGTGGGCAAATTATACCATTTCATTGGTTGGGCACATGAATACGTACTCTATGTGAGCTATTAAATAACTTCTGGTATATTGTTGTATTGTGTATTTATGTTTGTGGGGGTAATTGGAATTATTGTGTTTGGCATGGTTCGGTTTCATGATTTTATTAATGATGTTGGGCTCGTTTATATTATGATTCATCATTTTGTTCATTTTTGGTTATCATTTTGTTTATTTTATTTTATTTTATTTTATTTTTTGAATTCATATTATTTATGCTGTGTTTGCATCTGTTTGAACTGCTTGCATGATGATTGTTGGGATATTAACCTTTCTGGTTTTCCTATCCAAAAAAAAAACCCTTCCTCATTTTTTTTTTTTTTTTCAATTTAAATAATTAGGTTGCTTTGAAAACAGAATGTCAAAACAACATAGTTGTTTCAATCGGGAATAAAAAAAAACCCAAATTGGTTAATGGTTCAGGATGGTTGCTCATCGGTTGGGCACTAATTCTTGTGAAATTTGATCGACGAGGTCATATGAGTCATGGCTCCTATTGTTAGTGAGCAGTGGCAGATCCAGTTTTTACGGCTAAGTTTAGGTGTGTATATATTTAATGTCTAGATTAATGTAAAACTTGTGTTATGTACAATTTTAGACTAATTTAAAATTTTGTTTTGACATTAAATAAAAATAATTTGAAAAAAGAAGATATGATTAAGAAATTTTACCTATTTTTAACTGGGTTATACAAAAATAATGTTTGAAACAAAAAGAAACTTTTGTTAGTGTTTTATTCTAACTATAATCTAAATCTAATCTAAAATGACTTTAGGAAGGCGGAACAATGTGATTGTTTTTGACCCTTGGTTTGTTTGTTTGTTTGTTTTTGTTTTGTTTTGTTTTGTTTTGTTTTTTTTTTTTTTTTCAATTCCCAAAATATCTTTCGTAACGTAAACTTGCATCTACAGACGTGTCACATCTTCAGCCACCTGCATTACCAATCGTTGCCTAAAAACAAACACACACTGTTCTGTTGGAAAATTTGAATTTAAATTTACTCTAACTGTATGGTTTGCATTTCATTTGACATGAAAGTTGCATACTTGATTCTTTGGACCATCATGCATGGAAATGCGTGATTGGTGGTCCGAGAATCGAGGCACATGTCCGTTTGAGTCACAACCATGATAAGGGACTGTGTATGTCTTCCAATCCCCACTTCTTTCTTCCCATGCTTTGCCTTGCCCTCTGTTGCTGTCAATTGCAGATTCTGCGGGAACACTTTGCCGACCAGCAGTGCCAAGTGCCGACCGGCAATCCCTTCTCTGTCGATAGCTTCATCAATGGCCGGTGGCCACATGCCACTGTCGGTGGCAATTCCATCCAGCCGGTGATGTCCCCCAATATCTAAGGATTAAAATGAGAGAGCTATTTTAGATCCTTTACCGGGCTTGGCCTTCCTATGGTTTGTAGAGGATTCAATCTAGTTTCTAGAACATTTTTCGGAATTGGGGTTGCTCTTCCAGATTCTAAGTTATTTAGAAAATATTTCAGCGCTGTCCAAGGTCCGTCCAGAATCTGCCCAGTTCTGTCGACTGTTACGAAAACTTGATTTTCTTGCAAACCGCTCAATGTTTTTCAATGAAACCAATTTTAGTTGAAAGATTGTGTGTGAGTGGTGTGTATGTCTTCCAATCCCCACTTCTTTCTTCCCTTTTACTTACCTGCTTTGATGGTTAGTATTAGGGCATGTTTGATTTAGCATACCTTATGCTATTCATGCGTGCATTCATGTATTTGTATTGCATGCATTAGGCTCGGTACATCACGCTAACTGCATTTGTATTTCAATTTCAAATTGAATACGTGCATCAATTAATCGCATTTCATTTGCCATGCTTAGGTTAGCCGAGCCTACTTCGATTGCACCCCGTATGCGTTGCATTAGGCAATTTAGCATGAACTAGGACATGCATGTTTGCTAACTAGTTTATTGTTTTGGCACGGAGTACTATGTGAGTATTTTCCTGCTTTAGCATATCGCATGCGTGTGAATACTATCCTGACAGCATGCTTGCCATGCGGCTAAGTGTTTATGTGGACTAAGCTCAAGATGACCTCGGCTACGCACACACATACACTAAGCAAGGAACAAAATCATGCAAGCAACTTTAAGCAAATCAAGGAAAGACAAAACCTTCAAATTAACATAACAAGTAAGACCATGCAAGAATGTATGCAAGTATGACAAGAGTAAGGTGAGGGTTGTTACATCGGAAGTTAGTATGGTCACCACCACTCCCCCTCCCCCTCCAAGTCCCATGACTGCCACACCCTTTTCCGGCGCGTTCGGAAGCAACACACAAACCAACAGATTCCAACCGCGAGGCCAAAGAACCTTTACCCCACTATATATGCCCCTGACCAAAGTTCTGGGAATATTGATTAGAAAAAATCATTTAAAACCCCTGGAGCCAAAGCCATTACCGAATCCACTCCCCCCCTCTTATGACCCAGCAAAGTACTGCGCATATCACCAACAACACGGTCACGACACCGACCGTTGTTACAGATTGCGTCATGAGATCCAAGATCTTATTGACAAACAGGTGATCGCACCTCCTGATAAACCCAATGTCACAACCAACCCTCTCCCACCACATAACCAAGCTCCTCCTCCCAA